TGGCTACGTGTTCGTCTTTGGAGGGGCTGCAGTATCCTGGTCGAGCCAGCGCATCAAGTGTGCGACACTCTCGTCAACTGAGTCGGAGTACGTCGCGGCTACGGAAGCTGGCAAGGAGGCTCGTCGACTTCGCTTCCTCCTTGCAGAGTTCCAGTTGTTGGACCCTGGGTCGCCGACAATTCTTCTCGTGGACAATCAGTCGGCGATCACTGTCGCAGAAGGCTTGGGGCTGAAGGGCAACCTCAAGCACATGGAGCGACGTTATGCATGGCTGCAGCAGATGGTGAAGCGCGGGAAGATCGCGCTGAAGTACATCGCAACCTCTGAGCAGCCATCAGATTTCCTGACAAAGGGGCTGCACTTTCCGGCCTTCAACCGGTGCTCCGTCGCGATCGGCCAAGTTCGTCTGGCAGACATCGGCGATGGCGACGACGACGTGCAGAAGTAGGTGCCATGTCCTTCAACATGGCTGGTGCGGTTAGGTGTTGCGCGACGACGAACGCGCTAACGAGGTTAATTTTGTCATCTTGTACTCTGCGTTAGCTTGTTTTCTTTCGCAGGGTTACACTTCCTCTGTGCCCATTCGCTTGCAGGGCAGTGGAGTGTTGATATTAGCCCTGCATGTGCATGGGCAAAATTTGTGGCTTTCGCAAGTGCTGTTCCGAGGAGTTCGCACGAGGTGGAAATGTACAGTACCTGTGCACAGGGAGTGCCGAGGCACGTGTGCACGAGGTACTGTATTCTTCGTAGGTGCAGCAGCAGCACCTTGTGCACAGGTGCAAAGGGCGTAGCTGGTGCAGAGGGTCGCGGAAGTTCATGTGCGCAGGGTCGCGGTAACCCCTGCCCACCCACGCGAACGCACAGAAGAATTTCGCGAGAAATTCAATGTGCGCGAATTTCGACCAATGGGAGCGCAGGGAAATTTCGACCAATCAGATCCTGACGAAAATTGTACCCGCCAGGAGAAATTGAACCTGCCACAGAAAGAGAACCTGCTACAGGTTTTTGTAACTACAAAAACGTGCATAACTGTGCATGAAAAACCTGGACAACACCAAATTAGGTAGGCTTGTTGTTTCACTTGCCATTGCTGAGTTGGCAAAGCACATGCATGGTAGATAGTTGAACGTTCCACTAGGAACGTTCTTCAGGGTTCTTTGTTCTAGTATATGGTTCTCTTGTTGTACCATACTTGTTCTTGTTCAACTCTTTTTCTTAGTGAAAGCTATGCTTGAATTCTCCTAACCCAACAGCAACTCTATCAAAAGCAACACTCAGAATTCTACCCCTCGCGCCCTCACGCCACCCTCTCCATAGGATAGAATTCTCCGCATGGTGCGGTGAGCGTGGACAGCCCCGCAAGGATACCTTCAGATAGGAGCCAACTTTTGCACCTACTAAGTCGTTCGTAGGCCGGCAGTCTTCCGAGTAACCATGGTCGACCCCATAGCTGAAATGGGTGTAGCGGACACCTTGGAGACACGGTTAGCCAATGCGAGGAGACGCCACGAGGCTGGCGAGTACGGGACGATCCCCTTGGAGATCGTCGAGTTGGGCATCCGGGCGCAGTGGGCGACGGAGCACCCTTCCCGTCCTGCATCTCCTCGACCGGCACGCAACGAAGGAGGCGTCGACGAGGAGGTCGACGGCGGTGCACGAGTCCGTGGCAACGAGGGCACGAGGCAGATAGGAGTGCTCAGGTCTGCCGACGACGGTGTCGGCGGGAGTCAAGCGCGAGTGCAGCGGTCGACGGCGGCTGCAGGCAACTCGCGTGTCGACGTTGATGGTCGACGACGCTCTCCTCAACGAGGCAGTGGAAGTACCTCGGCGACGACGCACGTGACTGCGGGCGGGATCGCGCCGACGTATGGCTACTTCAAGTTTTCGCCGGACAAGATCACTGTCGCACCTCTGCAAGGCCGACGGGACCTCATTACTTGGAGGGAGTCGATAGAACCACAGCTTGAGGTCGCCGGGCTGAAGGGCTTCGCCGACGGTACTGTGCCAATTCCGCACGAGGACGATGTCGAGCTGCGCGGGGAGTTTCGTGCTGCTCACTTGCTCACCTTCATGGTCATCTCGAGGTGCTGCTCGCCGGTGGTGCAGCTAGCACTCAGGAGCTGTCGAGAGCGTCTGGATGCTGGTCACCAAGCATGGCACTACATCCTGACGACGTACCAGGTGAAGGACGACCTGTACATCGGACAGCTAGAGGAGAAGATGACACATCTTCGGATGGGTGAGCAGGAGTCGGCAACGGACAACTGCAACCGTGCTCGACGGATACTGGCCGAAATGCGGATGGCGGGCGCCGAATACTCCACGGCGTCCTACATCACCCACGTCGTCAAGGGCCTGCCGCGTAGCTACAACCTCATGAAGAGGATGATGATGGTGCCTGGCACGCGGGAGTCACTTGACGAGGACTCAATCACCAGTTACAACCTTCAAGATGAGGCTATGCAGGAGGCAGAGCAGCCCACGGAGCTCCTTCCGCAGGCGAGTTACGCTGCACCGACGAAGCAGAATCGTCCGCAGGGGCAGCGAGGAAAGTCTGGCGGAGGTGGTAGCGGAGGTGGGAGGTCGGCGAAGGACGCCGACCAGGCAAAATCACCTAGTGACAGTGGTCGCGGCAAGGGTGGTCGACGGCGTGAGTGCTGGGTCTGCGGAAGCGCCGACCACCTCTCCTATGACTGTCCTGACCGAGAAGTCACCGACGACGATGACCACAAGGGAGGCCGCGGAAGGTCGGCCAACGGTCGTCAAAGTCGGGACGAGAAGCCGCGCAAGGAGAAGCAGACGTCGAAGAAGACGTCGTCGACGAAGGAGGTCGACTCCCCCAGCGGCAAGGGGCAAGGTGACGGAGAGGCTTCATGCTCAATGGTCAGCATGGTGGAGCAGACTGTTTCGCTAGCGCCAAAGGCCGGCAAAGACTTCAAAGCGGTCGCAGCAGCCGTGCAGGCGAATCCAATGGTGGTTCTGCTCGACAGCGGTTGCTCACACCACCTCATGGGGACGAAGGAGGCCTTCGTCGACATGGGGCCGAGCGGCAATGTGAAGCATGTGCGTGGCTTCAACGGGGCTCTGCAGACCGTCGAGGGCCGAGGCACCGTCGCTCTGCAAGGGGAGGCCGGGAAGCAGGTCCTCATCCCCGACGTGCTCTACGTCCCGGGCGTGCAGGCGAACCTGCTGTCAGCCGGTCAGCTGAAGGAGAATGGTGTGCTGCTGCAGGACGACGGCGACGAGACGATGCTCGTCAACGCGACCGGGGAGGTGCTCGGTCGAGCACGCTACAACGGCCGCATCCTCTGCACCAACCTTCAACCCTGCTCGACAAAGCTGTCATCGAAGTCGACTGAGGTGGTGGCTCTGCGAACGATTGCTTCGGCAACGGAGTCCACGCCGCCCAGGTGGCACGTAAGGCTTGCGCACGTTGGCATTGACACCATCAAGAGCTCGGCGAAGCACAATGTTGCCACTGGCCTGGACATCAAGCCGTCGACAGGGACCGATTTGCCGTGCGTCTCTTGCGTAGGCGGAAAACTTGCGCGGCACACCTTCCCCGACAAAGGTTCAGACGCGGAGGAAGCCCTGGCAGTCGTGCACATCGACCTGTGCGGACCGTTCCGGGTGGCCGCCAAGGATGGCAGCTACTACTTTCTCCTGCTGAAGGATCGAAAGACTCGCTACGTGTGGGTGAGGCCGGTCGCTAAGAAAAGCGACGTCCTGCACGCGTTCGAGCAGTGGCTGCTGGTCGTGGAGAGGCAAACCAAGAAGTCGGTGATGATGCTCCGCTCCGACCGCGGAGGCGAGTTCCTGGGGAAGGACTTCACCAAGTTCGTCAACAGCAAGGGAATCGTCCACGACCTGACCTGCCCGTACACTCCGCAGCAGAACGGCATGGCGGAGAGGGAGATGCGTACTGTCGTCGAGGCTGTGCGAACGATGCTGCTGCACATGGGCGTGCAGCACCACTGGTGGCATCTCGCCCTGCGGCAGGCCGTCTGGGTGCGCAACTGCTTGGAGCGGTCGACGCTGCCTCCGGGGACGACGCCGCACCAGCTGCTGACAAGCAAGAAGCCTGATCTCACTCTGGCGAGGGTGTGGGGCTGCATGGTGCAGTTCATGGTCCCCGAGCAGCAGCGTGGTGGAAGCTGGCGTCGAAGGCTCGTTGGGGGCTCCACCTGGGTGTGTCACCGGTGAGCAAGGGATGGGAAGTGCTCGACCTGACTGACAACAAGCTTGTCACAACGGTCGAGGCTATCTTCTACGAGACGATGTCTCTGGAGGTGTGGAAGGTGACGCATGGGCCAGCGTTTGCACGGGCGCAGACCCACTCTCCGACTGACTCCTCAACTGCGACGTTCCCATTGCTCGCCGAGTTCGACGAGGCTGCTGACGAGGATGTCGAGGAGGTCCATCCTACTCCTCCTCCTCCTGTTCCTACTGCACCACCTGTTGTCGCCGACTTGCCTGAGCAGACACCTTCGTCAGCCACTGGCGACGAGGGGAGCCTGCGGACGTTGCCTGTGGCGCCGTCCAGGGGCATCGCCAGCGGCAGACATGATGTCAAGCTCGTCGACGAGGGTGCGAAGCCTTCGACGACAGGGGAGCTGCGGGTGGAAAGGATGCAGCTGACAGGGGAGCCGTCGACGAAGGAGACGTCTGCAGAGGAGCCGCCGACAGGGGAGCAGCTCGACGATGGTTCATCGAGTGACGTTGTGGAGGTCATTGGTGAACCTGACAACGATGAAGGGGAGCTGTCTGCAGGGGAGCAGTCCACTGACAGCGATGTGGTGGAAGTCGAAGCTGACAAACCTCCGCTGCGACGTTCCACACGTGTCAACTTTGGCAAGCCTCGCGAGAAGCTGAGCTACCATGCTTGCTTGCCCCCTACCTCCTACAGCACGTTGCTCGACGATGCGCAGGACGACGTCGACCTGCCCGAGCTCGACCCTGACGTGCACGCCGACCCTGAGCATCGCTGGGACATTGCGACGATGACAGTGAAGGAGGCTCTGGCGAGCTGGAAAGGCAAGGCGGTGAAGGCGGCGATGGACGAGGAGATTCGCAGCCTCATCGCCAACGGCACATGGGAGCTGGTCGAACGTCCGCGCGGGGTGAACATCATGAAGAACCGGTGGGTGCTGACGACGAAGTACCACATCGATGATACGGTCGCTCGTGAGAAGGCACGTTTGGTTGTGAAGGGCTTCACGCAGGTCTACGGCGCCGACTACGAAGAGACGTACGCGCCTGTCAGCAGTTACGTCACGCTGGGGATCTTCCTCTGCATCGTCGCCGTCGACGACTTGCACCTGATGCAGCTCGACATGAAGAATGCATTCCTGCAGAGTAAGCTGGACAGGGTGCTGTACATGTACCAGCCAGACTACTATGACGATGGAACTGGCCGGGTGTGCAAGCTGTTGAAAAGCCTCTACGGACTGAAGCAGTCACCACTGCTGTGGTACAGGGCCCTCGACGGAGTGCTGCTGGGCGCTGGCTGGAAGAAGAGCCAGGTCGACGAGGCTCTCTACTTCAAGGCTGGCGACGGAGGAGTGATGTGCTGGGTGCTTGTCTACGTCGACGACCTCCTCGCCGCCAGCAGCAGCCTCGCGATGCTGAAGGAGCTGAAGGAGCTGCTGGAGGCTGCCTTTGAGCTGCGCGAGATCAGCCCGGTCGAGAGGTACCTTGGGCTGGAAATCGTTCGCGACAGGTCGGCAAGGAAGCTGTGGCTGCACCAGCAGTCGTACGTCGACAAGCTGCGCAGACGTTTCATCGACGAGGAGCAGGCAGGACGCATCCCAAAGACGCCAGTCTCCGTCGACGCCTACGCAGAGCTGACATTCGATGACGAAAATGCTCAGCCGCGCGAGGAGGAGCAGTACAGGCAGAAGGTTGGTTCGTTGCAGTTCGCAGCAACGACGACGAGGCCGGACATCGCGTTCGCGTGCAGCAAGCTGGGAAGTGGCTTGACGGTGCGAAGTGACAATCATTGGCACGAGGTCGACCGCTGCCTGCACTACCTCGCCAACACCCGTGACATTGCCCTGGAGTTTGGCGGTGGACCAGAGTCGCTGTGGTTGGTCGGCAATGTAAACGCCGACGACGCGGGCGACAAGCAGAACCGGACGAGCACAGGTGGCTACGTGTTCGTCTTTGGAGGGGCTGCAGTATCCTGGTCGAGCCAGCGCATCAAGTGTGCGACACTCTCGTCAACTGAGTCGGAGTACGTCGCGGCTACGGAAGCTGGCAAGGAGGCTCGTCGACTTCGCTTCCTCCTTGCAGAGTTCCAGTTGTTGGACCCTGGGTCGCCGACAATTCTTCTCGTGGACAATCAGTCGGCGATCACTGTCGCAGAAGGCTTGGGGCTGAAGGGCAACCTCAAGCACATGGAGCGACGTTATGCATGGCTGCAGCAGATGGTGAAGCGCGGGAAGATCGCGCTGAAGTACATCGCAACCTCTGAGCAGCCATCAGATTTCCTGACAAAGGGGCTGCACTTTCCGGCCTTCAACCGGTGCTCCGTCGCGATCGGCCAAGTTCGTCTGGCAGACATCGGCGATGGCGACGACGACGTGCAGAAGTAGGTGCCATGTCCTTCAACATGGCTGGTGCGGTTAGGTGTTGCGCGACGACGAACGCGCTAACGAGGTTAATTTTGTCATCTTGTACTCTGCGTTAGCTTGTTTTCTTTCGCAGGGTTACACTTCCTCTGTGCCCATTCGCTTGCAGGGCAGTGGAGTGTTGATATTAGCCCTGCATGTGCATGGGCAAAATTTGTGGCTTTCGCAAGTGCTGTTCCGAGGAGTTCGCACGAGGTGGAAATGTACAGTACCTGTGCACAGGGAGTGCCGAGGCACGTGTGCACGAGGTACTGTATTCTTCGTAGGTGCAGCAGCAGCACCTTGTGCACAGGTGCAAAGGGCGTAGCTGGTGCAGAGGGTCGCGGAAGTTCATGTGCGCAGGGTCGCGGTAACCCCTGCCCACCCACGCGAACGCACAGAAGAATTTCGCGAGAAATTCAATGTGCGCGAATTTCGACCAATGGGAGCGCAGGGAAATTTCGACCAATCAGATCCTGACGAAAATTGTACCCGCCAGGAGAAATTGAACCTGCCACAGAAAGAGAACCTGCTACACGTTTTTGTAACTACAAAAACGTGCATAACTGTGCATGAACAACCTGGACAACTACCAAATTAGGTAGGCTTGTTGTTTCACCTGCCATTGCTGAGTTGGCAAAGCACATGCATGGTAGATAGTTGAACGTTCCACTAGGAACGTTCTGCAGGGTTCTTTGTTCTAGTATATGGTTCTCTTGTTGTACCATACTTGTTCTTGTTCAACTCTTTTTCTTAGTGAAAGCTATGCTTGAATTCTCCTAAGCCAACAAGCAACTCTATCAAGAGCAACACTCAGAATTCTACCCTTCGCGCCCTCACGCCACCCTCTCCATAGGATAGAATTCTTCGCACAAGCTGCCATCCTTGGCAGCTACCCGAAATGGCCCTCCTTGACAGCCAGTGTGTAACAGTACGTCAACGTCCAACACATTTCTCATTTCCATATTTTTACTCTATCTTATTCTCCTTATTTTCCTCTTTCATTTGCACTTTATTTCACCTCAATCGGACTACTATTCTATTTTCTAGAGCTTTCCGATTATTTCACTTATTTGTATTTTCGGCACCGACAATTACATTATACGGCACCGACAGCACCGACGGTGGTGTACAAGGCGTAATCTCGCCATAATCCAATGTGCCAATGGGCTTGCGTGCTTATGCGCACTAGTGATTATCTATCCTAGAAGAGCGCGTTCCCGAAGGTTCGGATTATCGCTTGTTTCTATGTATTTTAGAGTATAAATACGCCTTGTACTCACCTTTAGAACAACATTCTCGAGTGGAAATTCGATCCTGTGACACTTGGTATCAGCCGTTTTCACTCGCGGAGTTTCAGCTAAGCAGCGCGACAGCAAATTCCCTGCTTCGAAAAACCGCCGGGGGCGACGAATTCGGCGGCGACGCTGGTAAGCACCAGAATCCGCGTTTTTTTTTAATAACCCCCCTCGCGCCTTTTTTGAACAGGTTCGTAAATTTCGAAATTTTGGCGACGAGTTGGCGATACAACGACGGCCATCGCGAATTTTTGGGACTTATATCGAGCGGTGCAGAAGTAGCGACGCCGACGCGCGACAGATCGAACGACTTTGGGTGAATGCGCGCGTCATGGCGAAAATCGCGACAGTAGCAGAATCGATCGTGACTTCGCAGCAGTCGCGAAAATTTCCCCTGCCCCAAAAAATTCGAGCCCCCAACACCTTCGACGGGGAAATCGACGTGCGGAGGTGGCTGGCGGAAATCGAAATATATTTCATAGCCGTCGGATAGACATCCCCGACATACGACGGTTCGCGAATTAAATTTGCAGCAACACTTCTGCGCGGACCAGTAATTGATTGGATAAGCGGAAGCGGATTATTAAACCAAGGCGAAGCGACGTGGCAGCAGTTCTGTGAAAGATTACTACATCGTTTCGAGCCAATAAATGCAGCGTTTATCGCCCGCGACAAAATACATCGTCATCGACAAATCGGGAGCGTCGCGAACTACACGCAACAAATGGAGGAGTTGTTCAACCGCATCCCCGACGTCACGGAAGGCGAAAAAATTAGAGCATTTATTGCGGGGCTGAAAAACGAAACACGGAAGCACGTTGCGGCCGCAAATTGGAGCAGCTACAACGACGTTGTCTCGGCAGCAGAACGTTTCGACGTAATCACGATCGGAACACGACGACTTCATGGACGAGCTAGACGACATGGAGGACGCTTGGCTACCCCCACGTACGCCGACCCGATGGAACTCAACCGAATCGACGCGAAGGCAAGACCAAAGAAGAACAAAGCTAAGTGTTCTTTCTGCGGCAAGCCTGTACATCGACTCATCGATTGCAACAAAATGAAAACCGCACGTGCATCGTTTTGGGACCGCAGCAGTGGAGCAGATTCAACGCAAAAATTGGAGGATCGTGCAGTGAATTCTTCAACCCACGAACGGACTAAATCCACCAGGGTGTTAATGGGAATGGAGTGTTGGCCCCGCCCTCGCTTGGGCAACGCCGACGACTTGGTCGGATGTACGGGAGTAGCAGCCGACCGTCCACAGTGGGAGAGCTGCTCGACAGGCTACGTCGAGCTGCAGGGGACCGCTGTGGCGTTGCTGTCGACCAGGGAGCTCGACAGCTGCAACTGACTGGCCTGGGCGACGGGTGGGCCGTCCGGGAGGTCGACGGAGCATCCCGTCGACCTACAGTTCGACGGGGAGGTCTGCGGAGCATCCCGTCGACCTACAGTTCGACGGGGAGGTCTATGGAGCATCACGTCGACCTTCAGCTCGACCGGGAGGTCCACGGAGCATCCCGTCGACCTGCAGTTCGACCGGGAGGTCAATGGAGCAGTTCTGGTGGACGGAAGGGGTCCGTCGACCAGTGGGTAGCTCGACGGGAGCCGTGGTCGACCGGAGACACTGGTGGTCGACCGAAGCACCTGGTGGTGTCCAGGTCGACCGGGTAACCTGCTCGACGAGTTCTGCGGAGGCACGCGAACGTCGTCGAGGTTGCGATGGCGAAGGCGACTGCGGGCTGGTATCCCGAAGTCGATGTGGCTCGTCAGGCGCAGACAACAGCCGACGGATGCCCAACGAGGCAAGTCGGGCCAATCGTCTGCGCGCACCTGCGAGCGTGAGCACCGCTGTCTTCTACGGGGCAACGCTGGACAGCCGCACAGCTGCAGCGTTGGCACGCCGTCGACCTGCAGTGTTGGCAGGTCGCTCTTCTGCAGTGCTGGCGCGGCTCCTCTACGCAATGCTGGCAGGCGGTCGACCATGCAGTGCTGGCGGTCGACCAGGCTAGCTCCAGAGTTGCTAGGTGCCTGATGTAGTCAGTTCTGTCATTGCTTGTTCAATGATTCTGTATTCTCAATCTTTGCTAGTGGAAACTCTTGCCAATTTCTCCCGTGAATGTGCAAGTGCTAAGGAACCAAGCAAAGCTACGATCACTCCTAGTAGTTCGTGCCAACCCCGTAGTCTAGCTCACTACCGTTGTAGAGTGACTCTCCGCATGGTGCGGTGAGCGTGGACGGCCCCGCAAATTACCTTCAGATAGGAATCGACTTTCGCACCTACTACGTCGTTCGTAGGCCGGTCGCAGCGTTAGTCGCCATGGTCGACCCCGTAGTTGATGCGGGCGTAGCGGACACCTTGGAGGCACGCTTGGCTGATGGGAGGAGACGCCACGCGGATGGCGAGTACGGGACGATCCCCTTGACGATCGTCGAGTTGGGCATCCGGGCGCAGTGGGCGACGGATCACCCTTCCCGTCCTGCATCTCCTCGACCGGTGCGAAACGAAGGTGGCGTCGATGATGAGGTCGACGGTGGTGCACGAGTCAGCGGCAGCGAAGGCACGAGGCAGAGAGGGGTGATCAAGGTCGAAGGTGTCGTCGACGGGATACAGACGCGGGTGCAGCGGTCGACGGCAGCTGCAGGCAGCTCGCGGTTGAAGCTGATGGTCGACGTCGCTCCCCTTTACGAAGCGGTGGAGGACTCTCGGCGACGACGCATGTGACGGCGGGCGGGATTGCGCCGGCGTATGGCTACTTCAAGTTCTCGCCGGACCGAATCACCGTCGCACCGCTGCAAGGTCGACGGGACCTCATCACCTGGAGGGAGTCGATCGAACCTCAGCTGGAGGTCGCCGGGCTGAAGGGCTTCGCCGACGGCACCGTGCCGTTTCCGCCCGAGGAGGACGTCGAGCTGCGCCGGGAATTTCGTGCTGCACACTTGCTCACTTTCATGGTCATCTCGAGGTGCTGCTCGCCGGTGGTGCAGCTAGCGCTCAGGAGCTGTCGAGAGCGACTTGATGCTGGTCACCAGGCGTGGCGCTTCATCCTGTCGACGTACCAGGTGAAGGACGACCTGTACATCGGACAGTTGGAGGAGAAGATGACTCACCTTCGGATGGGCGAGCAGGAGTCGGCGACGGACTACTGCAACCGTGCTCGACGGATCCTGGCGGAAATGCGGATGGCGGGCGCGGAGTACTCGACGGCGTCCTACATCACCCACGTCGTCAAGGGCCTGCCGCGCAGCTACAACCTCATGAAGAGGATGATGATGGTGCCCGGCACGCGTGAGTCCCTCGACGAGGACTCCATCACCAGCTACATCCTTCAAGACTAAGTTATGCAGGAGGCAGAGCAGCCCACGGAGCTCCTTCCGCAGGCGAGCTACGCTGCACCGACGAAGGTGCAGCGCGGGAAGCCCGGCAGAAGGTGGTAGCGGAGGTGGGCGGTCGAAGAAGGAGGTCGACGAGAAGAAGTCGACGCGGGACAAGGGTCGTGGAGGTGGTGGTCGACGGCGGGAGTGCTGGATCTGCGGCGACCCCGACCATCTCTCCTTCGAGTGCCCCGACCGCGACGACAGCGACGAGGACGACAGCAAGGGAGGCCGCGGTCGATCGGCTAGCCGTCGCCCCCGTCGAAATGAGAAGCCGCGCAAGGAGAAGCAGGCGTCGAAGAAGACGTC